CCATTCTTGTCAACCATTCGAACTTTGAGATGGTATCATGAGTGGGTTAGGTCCCCCCCCCCCCACCTGCTCTTCCGCCTTAGGTCCTAGCCGCCCCGCTGGCCCCACTGCCCCGTCGCCTAGCTGGCTTGTTGGCCCCGTCTCCTAGCGCCTGCTGGCCCCGCGGCCCCGTTCCCTAGCGCCTAGCCGCCCCGCTGGCCCCGTGGCCCCGTCACCTAGCGCCTAGCCGCCTGTGGCCCCACCGCCCCGTCACCTAGTGCCTAGCCACCCCGCTGGCCCCGCGGCCCCGTCACCTCGCTTAGCCGCCCCGCTTGCCCCGCGGCCACGTCACTTAGAGCCTAGCCGCCCCGCTGGCCCCGCGGCCCCGTCACCTAGCGCCTATCCGCCCGTGGCCCCGTGGCCCCGTCACCTAGCGCCTAGCCGCCCCGCTGGCCCCGCGGCCCCATCACCTAGCGCCTAGCTGCCCATAGCCTCGCGGCCCCGTCACCTAGCGCCTCGCCGCCCGTGGCCCCGTCTTCTCGTCACCTGGCGCCTAACGGCCCCGTGGCCCTGTCGCCTAGTCGCCTTGCGCCTAGCCGTCCTGCAGGCCCCGCGGCCTCGTCGCCCCTAGCATAGCCGCCCCGTCGGCCAGTCGCCTAGCCGCCCCGTCGCCTAGCCACTCCGCGGCCCCGTCGCCCAGCTGCCCCGTGGCCCCGTCGCCTAGCCGCCCTGTCGGCCAGTCGCCTAGCCGCCTCGTCGCCCAACCGCCGGTTTAGGAAGGAGAAATATCAAGAGAGAAGAGGATGAGATTAGAAGAGAGAGGGATACAAGAAGGGGGATTGTACTCTCTACAGTAGAATCCAGTATCACCTACCAAGCCTACCATAATATATATCTTAAATATATAATTTAACACTGTCTACTCAAACCTAAACAGTGTTTGGGCTGCCTAAATCATTCATAGTTGCCCGACATTCGAGATAAGGTGTCCCAAACACAATTCTTTTCGGAGTTAGGGCTGATGCCACCCTGAGTGGTCGTGCTCCTCTCGGTCCTTTTTTTTGTTCTTTCATTTCTTTAACTAATGTAGTGGCGGATACGATGTCAACTTATACATATATTGTTATGTATAAGTTATAGGCTAGATAGGGTATGTTCTTAATGGGTACAACCCAAACGTTATATCTCCCCTGTTCTCCCTTCTTCTATTCATTCTTTCTAGTCTTAACATGGTATCACGAGTAGGTAGGTCCACCCACTCGCTTCCGCCCCGTGCCGCCGCCTACCGGACCCTCGCGCCCCTAGCTGGCTTCGCGCGCCCCTACGGCCCCGTCGCGCCCCTAGCAGGCACCGTCGCGCCCTTATGGCTTCGTCGCGACCCTACGGCCCCGTCGCGCCCCTTGCAGGCCCCGTCGCACCCCTACGGCCCTGTCGCGCCCCTACGGCCCCGTCGCGCCCCTACGGCCCCGTCGCGCCCCTAGCAGGCCCCGTCGCGCCCCCGTCGCGCCCCTATGGCCCCTCGCGTACCTAGCTGGCCCCGTCGCGCCCCTAGCTAGCCCCGTCACGCCCCTACGGCCCCGTCGCATCCCTAGCCAGCTCCGTCGCGCCCCTACCAGCCCCGTCGCGCTCCTACGGCCTTGTCGCGCCCCTAGCCGACCCCGTCGCGCCCCTACGGCCCGGTCGCGCCCCTAGCAGGCCCCGTCGCGCCCCCGTCGCGCCCCTATGGCCCCTCGCGTACCTAGCTGGCCCCGTCGCGCCCCTAGCTAGCCCCGTCACGCCCCTACGGCCCCGTCGCATCCCTAGCCAGCTCCGTCGCGCCCCTACCAGCCCCGTCGCGCTCCTACGGCCTTGTCGCGCCCCTAGCCGACCCCGTCGCGCCCCTACCGGCCCCTTGCGCCCCTAGCCGGCCCCGCGCGCCACTACGGCCCCTCGCGCCCCTATCGGCCCCTCGCGCCCCTAGCCGGCCCCGTCGCGTCCCTACCGGCTCCCCCGCATCCCTAGCCGGCCCCACGCGCCACTACGGCCCCTCGCGCCCCTAGCCGGCCCCGTCGCGTCCCTACCGGCTCCCCCGCGTCCCTAGCCGGCCCCACGCGCCCTTGTCGGCCCCGCTCGCTCTAGCCGTCCCCCTACGGCCTAGCCGGCCTCGCCGCCTGCGCCGCCGAGCCGCCGTGTCCCCGAGCCGCCGAGCCGCCATGTCGCCCTATACCCGAGCTGCCAAGCACCCGCGCCGCCGAGCTGCCGAGCCGCCGTGCTGCCGAGCCGCCGAGCCACTGTGCCGCCGTGTCCCCGAGCCGCCACGTCGCCGAGCCGCCAAGTCGCTTCGCCGCTGAGCCGCTGAGCCGCTGTGCTGCTGTCACACTGTGCAATGGTGGAGGCCGTTCTTCGCTTGGACGTTGAGGGGCACGCGATCGACTTCGCTGCCTGGCTCGTCAACCTCTGCTGGCACCTAGCAGGTCAGCGCCAGGATGGGCACTCCCTGGCTATGCATGTTGATGGTTTGCTTCCCCACCCCCCTGCGCCTGATCCCCTCCCTGCTGACCCTACCACTGCTGAGAGCGAGGCTTTTGCTGCTGCTGCGCTTGCTCGAGCTGTCTAGGATTCTCGCAACGGAGTAGCCCAGCTTGCCATTAGCCATGCCCTCCCCTTGTCTGAGCGTCCTAGCTTTATCACTGTCGCGAACGCGACCTACAGATCCTAGCGTGATTCTAATAGTGCAAGGATGCACTGTCAACCGTGCTATGTTACCCTAGGTTTCGTGGCGGATACGAAATTTTTGCCACTCTGCTCGTAATTTTTACCTACAACGGTGCGATGAAGACGCTCCATGATAAGACGAGACCAATCGATTAATGGCGTCTTTGGCCACACCTCAGCATGGCTAGTCTTAGAGATAACATTCAACATGAAATCGTGCACAGTACTCTTGCATATGTTCAAATACTTCGCGATTTTCCTAGTGCTCATCCCCATATGCAAATGCGTGGGTCCAGGAAGAGTGCGAGAAGTTCCCTGTAAAGGTTTGCACTAACCTCGTAGATAACATGCCTAGGAGGGTGTAGGTGGTGATCAAGGCCAAGTGTTGGTTGACTAGGTACTAGTTTTGCTAGTAACTAGTTTGCTGCCTGTCCTCGGTACAAATTGTCCGGATGTGCTGTTATTAAATGTTGTCATCTTGAAGGACCATGAAATATACTACTCTGGTTTTGAGAGATTTGAGTAAGTGCTCTAACTGCTCCTCTCTACGTGTATGGCCACCATGAATTAAGGCTTAATGTTGATAGCGTACAGCTCGTCAAAATGTAAAAATATGCTAAACATGTGGGCAATTGTTTCCGCCACTGTATCTGCTAGAAGTACCTATTCGGTGATGTACCTGTTCGAGCTATTTGCGCTATGCTCTCTAACCGCTACTGGAAAGAGCGCGACTGTTCGCGTGGCTGAAACGGCTTGCTGACGTAATCATCCAGACGAGCGCTATTTGCTGACGTCGTTCTACGAATGCTAACTACAGTGTAACTCGACAATATCTATCGGAACTACTTACAGAAATGCTTACAGTAAGTACGATTTTATGACAACACTTCCTTCTTCTATTCATTCTTTCTAGTCTTAATATACGACACTATCGACACGAATTAATCATTAAACACGACAGTTTTTGTAACTGTGTGCATGACTTCTCGGGTGAGTGGAAGCCAAAATAAGCATGAACCATTAAAAGCGTATACGGAGGGAATCTGACGGGAGGAAACCACGTCGTACGCGGGCCATTATTTCCCGTGAAAACAGAAATACAAGTCGCCGATATTTCGTAGGCGCGACATTCCCTCGCCGAAGTGGGTAGGGGGGGAGAGAAGGTGTGACATGTCATGTCCAGGGCTTTCTTTTTGTTTCAGACTACCCTGTAATTTCAAGGTATTTCCCCCAAGTCTGACTAGTACACACTTGAAACTGGGGGACTTAGACGAATCCTCCAAGTTGCGACGTGTATGGGAGGACTATCTCTGTTACTGGGGGACTTAGCCGAATCCTCTGGGATGCAAGGGTACTACAGGAGCTCTGTCTCTGCTAGTGGGGGACTTCACCATTTTTTCGGGGTCGCTCGAGGGCTGTGGGAGGAATTGTCAAATGTAACTTAGGTCGTTACTGTAGACTATACTGGATTGTGCCTTAGAGGGTACAACACCCTAGTCTATATACCCTTGTACTCACACATTCTAGCTCAATTATTCTTTCTGATATGGTATCATAGTAGGTTAGGTTCCCCCCTAGCCCGCCCACGCTACCGCCCCCTAGGCCCTAGCCACCGTCGTGCCCCGCTCCTAGCCCGCACACCTGGCCGTCGCGTCCGCCCCTAGCCGGCCTCCTGGCCGTCGCGTCCGCCCCTAGCCGGCCCCCTGGCCGTCGCGTCCGCCCCTAGCCGACCCCCTGGCCATCGCGTCCGCCCCTAGCCGGCCCCCTAGCCGTCGCGCCCGTCCCTAGCCGGCCCCCTGGCCGTCGCGTCCGCCCCTAGCCGGCCAACTGGCCGTCGCGCCCACCCCTAGCCAGCCCCCTGGCCGTCGCGCCCGTCCCTAGCCGGCCCCATGGCCGTCGCGTCCGCCCCTAGCCGGCCCCCTGGCCGTCGCGTCCGTCCCTAGCTGGCCCCCTGGCCATCGCGCCCGCCCCTAGCCGGCCCCCTGGCCGTCGCGCCCGCCCCTAGCCGGCCACCTGGCCGTCGCGCCCGTCCCTAGCCGCCCCCCTGGCCGTCGCGCCCGTCCCTAGCCGGCCCCCTGGCCGTCGCGCTCGTCCCTAGCCGCCCCCCCCCCCCCCCTTGGCCGTCGCGTCCGCCCCTAGCCAGCCCCTTGGCCATCGCGCCCGTCCCTTGCCGGCCCCCTGGCTGTCGCGCTTGTCCCTAGCCGCCCTCCCCCCCCCCCCCCCCCCCCCCCCCCCCCCCCCCCTGGCCGTCGCGCCCGTTTCCTGCCATCCCACGGCCGCCCCTAGCCGTCTCATGGCCGCCCCCTCGCCGTCGCGGCCGCCCCTAG